TTTTTCGGCCTCTGCCGAGATTACCCTACCATTGACTTCACCCCAGTGTTGGGTATCTCGGCATCCTCTTTTCTCTATGGCGTATGTATCACATCATTATCCTTTCTTTTCTCTTGGTTTTGAATCCACTTCTAGCTGAACCTAACGGGGCGTGTAAAGCTCTTGACGTATTCTCTTCCTAGAATGGAGAAAGCGATTGACGCAGTAAGGACAACTGGTATGAAAATTAAAACAACAGCCAGAAAATATCACGTTCCGAGGTCAACGTTGCAGGACAAGTTAAGTGGTCGAAGCAGGGAGGGGGCTAGGATTGGCCACCCCACAGTGTTGAGTACGAAAGAAGAAAAGGAGCTTTAGGCATGTGTTCAAGATATGCACAAACGCAGATTTCAAGCATGAAAAGATCAAATCCTTGATTCTGTCCAAACCTATTTCGGCGAGAATTAGCGGGAAAATCCTTTCAAGGAAAATCGTCCTGGAAGGGATTGGTTTAGGCGGTTCCTCAAGCGCCATCCAAAAATTGTGCTCCGCACAGCCGAAGCTTTGGCCAAACGCCAGGCCAGAGTCACGAAAAGAAGGCATCATCACCTGCCCAAGCAGCATGTTCACGTAAACAAGATATCAATTTTTTGCAAACAATGTAAATTTCTTGCGATAGCCATGAAAATGACATCACGTTTACGTAAAATTTACGTTCCTATATTTACGTCACCAAAGTGTACCTGTATTTTACATCAACTAGACGTCACTCCATCTGACGTGAAATACATATCAAGTTTATGAAAAATTAACACCACACCATCCATATGAAACTTTAGCTGACCATCCTGCAGTTGCAGTACCAAGATTCCTCACTATATGGAACCCTTGTTCCCTGCATCCTACAATTACTATTAAGTACTGGTCTTGCTGATATAGTATCAAGTTTTCTTACCATCCTTCTACTTTTTATTATGCAATCCATGAATATATATATGAAAAACATGAAATTATTATATATATTTTTTATAATATATGCCTCAGGGAATCATTAAATGCTGAAGTTAAGCTTTTTATTACAGCAGTGCACGGGATTAGGGAAGAGTAGAATCCCAGCCCTACAAGTACTATATCTTCTCTATCCTAAAAGGAAGAGAGCTCCTTTTGAACATCTGTACCCGAGGTTCCGGTACGGGAGGAGGAAGCAGTAGGTCACTTTGGTACTCTTAGAGTGCTGGTGAGGATGAGTACTCGTGTACTCATGTACTCGTCCAACCACCCTAGAGTTTGGAAGAACGTAAAGGAATAGGAGATTCAGTATGTCAATTCTCTTCAATGGTACTGGTTGACTTTAAATACGCATGAATGCCAGGGGAAAATTGACACAAATCTTACGTAAAATGAATGTAAACATGGTGTTCGGAATGCAAACGGGAATGTCAATTTGACGTAAAATTGACGTTAATTTTATATCACCGTTTACATATCACAGAGGTGACATTTCTGCAAACATGTTGACATTTTCTTGACAATGGTTTGCGTAAAAATGATATAAACTGGACAAAAAATTTACATTCATTTTACGTAAAATAAACATAAACATGCTGTTTGGGTGCTTTGTCGAAACTCGCGAAGTCCTCGCTGAAGAGGAACTGCTGGAACTTCTTGACGATCCCTCCCGACTATTCAACATAGACGAATCTGGATTTCTCTTGTGTCCAAAAACCCACAAGGTTTTGGGTCCGAAAAGAGCCAGAGATATCTATCAGATCATGCCTGGTAACGACAAAGAACAAATGACCGTACTGGTGACAGCGTCAGCGGACGGAGAAGTATATCCCCCTATGATTGTGTTTCCACACAAGCGAATTTCAAAAGAACTGGCAGCCAGTGTTCCTGGTGATTGGGGAGTAGGTAGAAGCCACAGTGGATGAATGAGATCTGAAAGTTTCTACGAATACATCGCGAATGTGTTCCACCCGGCTTTGCTGACAAAGAAAATCAAGCTTCCTCTCATTGTTTACTTGGATGGCCACCGCAGTCATCTCACTCTTCAACTCAGCTATTTCTGCAAGCAGAGAGGAATTGAAATGGTCGCGCTGTACCCAAACAGCACTCACATATTGCAGCCACTAGATATTTCTTTATTCAGGACTTTGAAGATATCTTGGAAGAAAATCGTTCTGGATTGGCGGAAGGATCACCCTAACTGCTCGCTGTCCAAGAAGGACTTTGCTAGTTGTTTCCAACAGGCACTGAACTGTGTCCAACCGGATACCATCAGAAACGGATTTCGCTGCTCTGGGGTCTCCCCTTTCGACGAGGACGCAGTCGATTATTCCAAGTGCTGTCAGGACCTTCAGACCACGACATCGAAGCAATGGGGAAATCAGCAGGAAAGCCCTCTGGAAACCCCACCAACTGTTCTTACGAAAGAGAAGTTTTTGGAACTCATTGGGGATGTAAGCCATTTACAACAGCAGCCAGATAGCAAGTCTAGGCAGGCGCTGCAGAGAATTGCCCAGTTCTTCAGAGTCTCCGATGCTCCTGATACCCACGAATTACGAACACCCATTACGGAGCGCATGCCATCGGGAAATGGATTGCAGGTGTTCAGCACGCCTAGCCCAAACCAAAAACGCAAGAGGTTTGAATTCTCTGCGGTGAACAGTCCCGTACAGGCTGTAGCAACGTTGCAATCAACCTCAACGTCTGCTCCTCAGGAAGAACCGGTTGGAGGAAGTCTCACTGGGGAACAATCGCCAGAGCATTCAAATGCAAAAGTATGATTGTACTTATTAATTATTGTATTTATTTACACATTCTCTTCCACACGAGTTATGGTTTTCATTAGTTAGTTTTAGTCATTTTGTAGTTCATTGCAAATGACATTGATACTTAGACTTAGGGGTGCCGAGATTCCCGACAGGTAGGTGCCGACTATACCAGCAAGTGTGCCGAGATTCCCAACATCCGACCCAACTTCACATTTGACCCTAGCCCTCAATGAGGAATTGCTCAGGGCACTCGAGGTGTATGGTACAAGAAGGTATATAATAGAGGTATGACCTGATCCAACGTGAACGAGGAAGTTCCATTACAGAAACTACCAGACAAGGTTGAAGTGAAAATTTTCCTTAGAGTGCCGACATTCGCAACAATCACCCTATAGCCCGAAAGATGATTTCAGACACTTTGCATCGTGTCTGAACAGAACGAGGTATGTTGCAACAAATACGGCTAAGAATCTCGTCAGGAAGTTCCATCTTCCTCTGGAATCAACCACGGGATAGAAGTAATTGCTCGACTACCTTGAAGCTGAGAGGGATAACAGAATATTTCAAGATATTTTAGGCTTCACTGCTGATATGAATTGGACTGAATAGAGGCAGAAACAACGCAAATGTCTCCTTCGATTAAAGGAAAATTGCTTGTGTTTAGGTAATCCCCAGAGCCCGGGTTCCTATTCTCCAAACCTCGGTTCGTTTTGGACTCCTTGAATTCAAACCTGTATGTGACGTCTATCGACCAAATCTATCTGAAGTGCAACGTGAACGAGGTCCTTTTTTCCTCCTCTCGCATTTTATAACTCAGAGGGTGTACTAGCAAATTGAATTGAAATACAGCATCGACCTATTTCCTCTCATTTCACACCATATCCATTCCTTTCTCTCAATGGTAGTTGAAAGATAACGAACTTTATCTGCCATTCCAGTAGGTACAATGGGACAATGGCAGATATTGCGATCACTCTGTCACTTTTGCATTGTCATTCCGCCTGATCGCAATATCCATAGCAACCGGACTACACGACCCGCTACGCATGTGCAACCTTCCCTTCTGGATCACCGTGCCTTTCTTCTGCTAAAACATTCACTTCCCTTCCAGCCCTCGCGGTTTGCGGATCCATAGTAGACAATGGGGGTGAGCAGCTGCTGTCGGCCGCGTAGACAGGGTTGCTAGGCGTACGCGTGAAATACCGCATCTAATATCCAACACTTCATAATCTCCTCTCATCTCCACGTGACTCGGACGTGCGAACCATCGAGAACATGTCTAGTAATCCGGGACATCCATATAGGTCTATGCTGTAGCAACGACAGCTATTATTCCAAGCTGGGTAACGAAATCAATTTCGTTTCGTTTCTGTTTCGTATCTTAGCGACCCTTAAGTATTTCGTTTCTATTTCAGTTCCTGTTCCTCCAATTTCGTTTCAGTTATTTTTCTGCTTCTATTCTATTAAAATGACGATAACACTTTTGATTCTGTTTCCCGTCAATATCTAAAGGTCCAAATACCTCTACGTCCATCAGTTCTTATGTAGTCGTACTAATAAGACATGAATTTAGTTAACCAAACCATGCTCACCGAGGTATAACACGTTATTTAAGGATATTATAGGCTTTAGTTCTGATATCAGAGAGAAAAATTGGAAAGTATAGTGGCAGCCACAAGGTAGAAGTCTCCTTCGTTTAAGAGATTGAGGAATAATATTAATATTTACCCTTCCCTTCAATTTGTGAGGTACGAGTTTTCCTGCGTCCCGCTCTGCTAAGTAGCAAAGATGCTTTCATTCCTTGGGAAGACTGTTGTTTGGATTCCCTATACAATAGTCCCTCACTTTACCCAGGGCATGCATTTTGAGAAAACGCCTTGAACAGCGAACACAGCTTTACATGCAGTACTGAGTGTCAGTAACAGGAGATACTCTTCTCATTCACATTCTCACGTTCAATTTCGGGTCCTTGAAAAAAAATCGTGAAAAGCAAGGGACATGTGCATCGCGGCTTCATTTTAGAGGGCTTCTCTCTTTTTTCTCAAGAGGACTGCTCACCTGCTCGATCGACCCGACACGTTCTGGGGGTTGGGCCTCAGAGCTCGGTCGAAAAGCAATTTTCATATGAAAAATTGTATCATATCAACTTGTCAAATGATGCAGAGGCATGATAATCAGTTCGATTCGTGGACGTGGATGAAGACCAACAAACCCATCATCATATGAATGAAGGAGTGAACATCAGGGAGGCGTCCTTCTAAGAAGTATATTTTATTTCTGCTCGCTTTTCATGGTGACTGTGATCAAGCAATGAAGAATAAGTCGGGATATGCACACAGGAGCAATGTGTAACTGTCATCTGTGCATGCAGGACGACCGACTGATGCGCACATAGCCGCAGCTGTTTTTCGATCTGGACAACTGCAAAAAGAAAACAATAAGGGTTAAGCCTCAATTATACACTCTTAGCTTTTTACCCAGGAAATGGGGTAAGAAAAACTTTTAATTTGTTACTCTTGAATAGGAGTAACCTGTGGAGGAAGAAAAAGGAAAATCGAGGATGAAAGGTTACGAACTTGGAATGAAAAATTTTTATACAATAGTGTGTTTATATAAAAGGAAAACAACCTTCTCAACTCCATCAACAACTCCGGTGGCAATTTTCCTTGAACTGGATAATGATGTTCATGTTTCTCTTGATGTTACAATTCTCGGAAATGTTGATTAAAATTCAGTACGCAAGATTTATTATAATGAACAATCTAATACAAGGAAAAAATTTATATTCCAAGTTCATAACCTTTTATTTGCAATTTTCCACTGTTACTCCTTAGGTTACGTCTATTCAAGAGTAACAAATTAAAAGTTTTTGCTACCCAATTTTCAGAGTAACAACTAAGAGTGTGACAGGACATTCAATGAATCAAGAGAAAATATTCTATCCATAGACAGATGTAATACGCAAGGACTTTCTGGAATCAGTATGGCTATCGAATTGGATTTAATATAGGTTTCATATCGCTGTGATGCATACAGGAACCCAAAGGTATACTTTCCGATCTTTTTATGAGCAGCTTATCCCCATATTGATCCTTTTCATTTGATTCAACGGATCAACTAACTCCAACTAAACGATGAGTTAAAAAAGAAAACCTATCCTGGAGATGCGATGCAATTATTATTATACAATTAACGATATGAAAATGATCCAGTGATTCCTGGACTTAGGTAGAACATTCTCAGTGTGCTCAAGTTATAGAGGAAACCAACAAAAGATTCTCTAAGCATTCGTATAAGTAGTCATGTAGAGAGTGAAGGTAATTGAATAAAAAAAGCTGAATCTTGTGGATGTTGAACATTCCAGAAAGTTATCGCTTCAAAGTTAAATGGGAAAGGGCAGTTTCCTAATGAATGTCAGTGATAATGGGAAAACTAATTAAGAGTGTATACTATTTTCTCTCGCAATGAGTGATTGCGAGGGTGAGGGAAGGATTTTGAATATGAAGTTATGTCGAGGAGTGGCACTTACTCCACGAAGTTTCCACTTGTCCCTTCAACTGTTGGATTAACTTGGTACAGCGGCGAGTTGTTCAATTTATAGTCGCAACACTTGATGGAATGACTTTTTTCGTCACACATCGGATTGAAGTGAGAACTGCAGGCTCCCCGCATGAACATGGACGTTGGGCAGGTGGCCATATCACCAGAATCCTCGGGGATGGTTATGCAACTTGAAGACGAAAGGGGCCCTTGGTTCACCTTACAGCACTCGATTCGAGTGGTGTGTCCACCACAGGCATTCAAATTTTCAGCAGCCGCGCAGACAGAAAACACCATCTTTGAAAAGGTAAAAGAAAATCTTTTCTTGATATTTTATATCTTCATGCTTCCCGTGAAGGACGCCTATGGCGTTGTTGCAAAATCCCGGACGTACATGAATGAAATGAATTAATGGACAATCTTCGTTTTCTATATTATTTCCTGAGAACAATTTTACCAATTCCAAAATTATTAACACATTTTATCCTGCTTTTCCAACTATTCACAAATGTTACTTGGATATCAGAAAGCTCCTCATCTATCAATTAACTTCGAAAAGGGAATGGAAATTGTTTAAAATGTAAAGAAATTGGCAGAAGTAATATCTATCGCTTGGCATTCTATTTGCTAGAACGCCCTCTTGGTTATGGAACGGGAGAAGGAAAAGAGAACCTCATCAACGTTGCACTCCGCGGTCTGGCCCTCTCTGGCATCCTCAAAGCGGCAGGAGTGGGGTGTTAGACCCTGGCCATGACATTGGGTGACGGAAAGCATCGCGACCGTGATCCCCATCACGATTTTGTGAACAAGCAGCTAAGGAAAGTCAGGAAAGTAACCGTCAGGAATCCCATCTTCTAACATAAGGCATTTCAGTAACTCGACAAAGGAATGTATACAAGAGAAAGACAGGAATAAATATCGCATGTCTTGCTTATATGCATGTATATCCACAATTGCATGAATATCTTGACAAATATCTTATTCATCGATTGGAATTATGCATTTTTTGTCCACACCCGTTAAGTTTCATGATGAAAGGTCAGCTATGGTTTAAAAATGAAAGCTTCACCAAAATATTAATGAACTACCTATTGACTGGATATATCGTTTTAGATTTCATTTCAATCTACTCCAGAATCTGAACGAAGTTTGCATGACTCACCTTTGGCATGATTCCTATCAAGGATCCTGGGTCTGATGGTGTAGTGTCTGCGCTCTGATAGGTGAACTGAGGATGCAGATGTTGTTGCTTTCACTTTTATAGACGGCAGGACACATGCTTTGGGGAAATAATACTGAGGCAGTTGGTGGGACCCTTGACATCTGCCTGATTTTCCATGAGAATTTTCTTTTTTTTCCTGGAAATCCACATCACTTCCATGTATATCTGGAAAATGTTTTTTTTTTTTGCCTGATTCCTACTGCAGCCCGACACCACTGCAAACAACATGGATATTATTAAGTATTTATTCCCTTTTTTCTTCCCTTTTCGCCTCTTTACCACTTTGATCAGTTTTTCTTCTGAGCTATTCCTCCTACCCCCACTTCATGCAATTCATTCTGAATAACACTACCCTTTCCCATCTGGATTTATGGAAGATAGGTTCCCCACCGCTTAGGGGGAAGATAGGTTCCCCACCGCTGACTAGACTTGTGAATACCCGAAAATGCTACGCGCTTAGTCTCGGCTGACCCGGATTTCGTGTATTTCTTCCACGGGTTCGGGTCTTCGTCTCGCTCTCGAATTCGCAGTCTCTTTCCACCTGTCGACTAAAGTCGGGAATGCCCGAGAAACAGTTTGTGGAAGGCTTCCGCGGATTGGGGTGCCCGTCTCACGCGCTGAAGCTTGTACTTTCTCTCCGGCCTTCGCGACTGTCGGATCTGTTCTTGAGAATGATGGAGTCATGGTATGCATGCGCCCCCCCCCCCCCCCCCCCCCCCCCCCCCCCCCCCCCCCCCCNCCCCCCCCCCCCCCCCCCCCCCCCCCAAGAAAGGGGTGTTCACCACTCGATACGAATTTTCACAGGGAAAACTGACTTGGAGTCCCGTTTTCCTTCCCTTGAAGGAGAGTAACTCCTAAATGTGAAAGCGACAGGATCCTATCTGGGTGGGATAAATGAGGGGGGCTTACCCTTGGATCACCAGGACGCCGCCGGTTGCGTCGTAATCATCCCGTTTCCATATTTGTATTTTTCACTCTTAGGTTTGCATGAAAAGTGATGGTGATGGACTTTACGAACGATGCAGGCCGGGTTGTGATCATTAGGAGGAAGTTTCGATCAATGCGAGAACAGGATTCCGGTCAAGAAAGGGATAGAGTAGCTGCTACCTATAGCGTTGAGAGAGCCACTGAGTTTTAGGGCCGACGAATGAACTCGGGAACTGCGGTCAGAGTTCGTGGATGTCTTCCACGGGTCGGCTAGTTTAATTTTGTTGGAAACTCAAGGTTCCCTATTCCATGGCTGAAATGAGAAACACATGAGAAATCCCTCGACATGTTTTTTTTTTAAGTTACTAAAAATACAAACAAATGCATGTCACACAATGCATGCACAATACAAATTTTTCAGCGCCATTGCATACTTTTCTTATTGAAAACATTTTTCGATGTTGATTCGGCAAATTAAGCTGAAAATCTCACAGGAAATCTGCTCAAAGGTATGCTGCACCAGAAGGATCCCTTTCACAGACTCAACAGCTAAGTTTTTCCTTTTCTGTGTCTCTGGTTTTGCATGACCCTAGATTATGATTAAGGTAAAGGAGATGAATGAAATGAATTAATCAAGATTATTTCTCCTGTATGTGTTTATATCTGAAATCGATAGCAAGAGACAAACAGGATGAGTTAAACCTGCAGCGCATGCAAAAACCCTGTTTAAAAAAATGCTAGACTCTCATTTAGAGGCAAAAATCCGCACCCATTCTTCATTTAAGGTTTTCTGTAGAGAAAAAAAAAGAAGCGGAATCTTTCGGCAAGAGAGGAAATAAAAAAAGCTTATCATTCCAATTTCACAGAAACCTTTTGGGGCGATTGCATGAACGATGTTTATTTTAGACATTGACTATCGATAGTCATTGTTTAAACATTGTCTACGAAAACATCGGTTAACCTGTGTTAAACGGCTGTCCACTTTCGATTGCGTGAACGATCCCTAAACCATGTTTTCATAGCCGATGGTTAGACGATGGCTAAATACCCCTCATGGTATCTATAGCACGTTCTGACTCCTCGGTTGTCGCGTAATACACTACGGACTCCACAAAATACGAGCGAATCAAGTGAAAAAGGAGAACCTTTCCTCAGACTATTAAGTACATCTCGCAGAGCTTGTAAAGGAGAATCTCACGATAGAGAGAGACAGAATGCGCTTTCCTTGCACAACAAATAATCATGCCTGGAAACTGGTGAGTTCTCCTCTGACCTTACTCTGTATTTCGATATATCAGAGGTAAAGCCAACGACTCGAGTATTTCGATATATCAGAGGTAAAGCCAAGGATTCGTTTTGGACACACGGAGAAGAAGGAAATGTGCAAAATAGGAGTATCATTTGTGTACGATTGCAAAATGAGGATATTCGAGAATTACGTGTGGATCCTGGTGATGACGTCACGTGATGACGAATTCAGTAAGAATCCCTTCAGCATCGCGCACTGCTTGGACATCGATGAAATAGAAGCATTTGCGATCGATTAAAGTCGTCTGGGCATTCTATTCGAGTACGACAGTTGTCGATGACACCGATCAGTCCTGGAAATCCGACAATATCAAATAATTATCTTCGTTCAACTACTCCGTTGTTCCTCCAAGGAATGTAATGAGCGATGCAAATGGGCAATGGCTTGCCCCATTCCATTTCTAGGAATCGACGCCACGTAAAATCGAAGGGTCAGCACAACATGCAAATCGAAAGGCTTTCATGATACTCTCTTTACTTTCGAGTCATATTAATTAATTACTCAGGGGATGGGTACTTGAACAAATCACGATTCATTGCACACGAACAGTGATTGCTCTTATAT